ATTTGCTTGTTTTCCCCTCCTTTCGAATTGTAAGCCGCCCTGAGTCCCCCCAGGGAAAAGGGCAGCATATAAATAAACTACTATAAACTATAAACTATAAGTGAAGCCAGCTCTTGCCCCTACGTAATTTACGGCCGAACTATGACCCTGTTTCCCCACTCCTCACAGGATATGTTATAAACCACATTGCCTCTGAGATCCAATGGTGAGGAACGTATGCGTGGAATGTGTTTCTGCTGAGCTGTTCCATCAGTTCCCCCCCCCCTCCGGCTGCCCATGGCAACTCAAGAGCAGGCCATGAATGCTTTACGAGTTAACATTCGTCTTGCAAAAGATTGTTGGCGGGATTACAATGGGACCCCTTCAGAAACATCACCCTTGGCATTTTGATCATCCGGAGAGAAAAAGCGGACGGTATATGTGCTATAATAACGTAGGTAATCCTCAACTTACAACAGTCCATTTAGTGACCATTCAAAGTTGCAACGGTGCTGAAAAACAGGACTTATGACTGTTTTTCACACTTACAAACTTGGCAGCATCTCCAGGATCACGCGATCTGAATTCAGATGCTTAGCAACCGGTTCGTACTTACGATAGTCGCTGTGGGCCGGGATCATGTGATCAAAATTCAGACAGTTGACCACTGACTCACATTTATGACGGTTGCACTATCCCAAGGCCACTTGCAAAGATCCCCTTTGGCAACCTTCGGACAAGCGAAGTCCATGGGGAAGCCGGATTCACTTAATGACCGTGCGACTAATTTAACAACTGAAGTGATTCACTTAACGCTAAGTGTCCAGAAAGGGGATAAAACGGGGCAAAACTCAACTTAAAAAATTTCAGGAATGATTGTGGTTGTAAATCAAGGACTATCGGTATTTCTTTGTTCAATCAGCAACTGTGGCTGTTGGGAACGCTGGAAATTTAGCTATAGAAGTGGGTCAGACTTGATAGGACTGAGAGATGGTCAGTAAACAGAAATTGAACAACACAAGATGAGAAAGAGGCAAGACAGAGAGAGTGAGAGACAGAACACAAATCGTTCTGTTTTAACCCGAAATACCTCTTCCAATCTGTCCAGATCATCATCATCGTAGACTCTGTTATCTAAACCCGGCTTAAAGCCCTTCTTGGATCCACTTCCTGCCACCTGACCCAAATCCATGGGGCACAGGTACTCTTCCCCTCCGTCGTCCTGCTTCTTCTTCCTCAAATTTCCGAAGTTACTGAAGGTGAGTTTCTTTGGCTGAAAGAGAAAAGCCCAGTGAAGTCTTCAGGGCAGGAAGTCCTCGGGTTACGACCGCAATTGAACCCAGAATGAGAGATGTATAGGAATAGCAGGTTTTTGTTCTCAGATCATGCAGCCAATTTTGAGGGCGAGCATATGATCTCAGGGGGTGGGACCACCACAACGGTATTTTTTTAAAAATCCTACATAGCTCTCTTGCACTCTCTGGAAAACCTTATCCATTCACTGTTTAGCCCTGACTAGCAACAGCAAAAGAGCATAGACATGTATCCTTTCATCGTCCTTTTACAGCCCACTCTAAGTGGTTTATAGAATCAGCCCCCCAAGAATTTGGGTCCTCATTTTACTGACCATGGAAGGACAGAAGGCTGGGTCAACCTTGAGCTGGTTAGGATCGAACTCCTGGCAATGGGCAGAGTCATCCTGACTCCGAGGTGGCGCAGTGGTTAAATGCAGCACTGCAGACTACTTCAGCTGACTGCAGTTCTGCAGTTCGGCTGTTCAAATCTCACCGGCTCACGGTTGATTCAGCCTTCCATCCTTCCGAGGTGGGTAAAATGAGGACCCGGATTGTTGTTGGGGGCAAGAGGCTGACTCTGTAAACCGCTTAGAGAGGGCTGAANGAGAGAGAGAGAGAGAGAGAGAGAGAGAGAGAAAGAAAGAAAGAAAAAGAAAGAAAGAAAGAAAGAGAAAGGAGGGAGGGAAAGAAGAAGAGAGAGAGAGAAAAGAAAGAAAAGTGGGAGGGAGGGAAGGAAGGAGACAAAGAAAGAAAGAAAGAAAAAAAAGAAAGAAAGAGAAAGGAGGCAGGGAGGGAAAGAAGAAGAGAGAGAGAAAAGAAAGAAAAGAGGGAGGGAAGGAAAGAGAGAAAGAAAGAAAAAGAAAGAAAGAAAGAAAGAAAGAAAGAAAGAAAGAAAGAAAGAAAGAAAGAGGAGGCAGTTAGGGAGGGAGGGAAAGAAGAAGAGAGAGGAAAAAGAAAGAAAAGAGGGAGGGAGGGAGGAAAGGAAAGAGAGACAAAGAAAGAAAGAGAAGAAAGAGAAAGGGAGAGAGAGGGAGGGAGGGAAAGAGAGAAACACAGAGTGAGACAGAGAGAAAGAAAAAGAAGGGAGGAAGAGACAGACAGAGAGAGAGAGGAGGGAATGAAGAAATAAAGAGAAAGAAAGGCAGCAGAGAGAGAGGGAGAGGAAGGGTGGGAAGGAAGGATAGAGAGAGAGAGAAAAAGAGGAAAGAAAGAAAGAAAGAAAAGAGGGAGAAGGGAGGGAGGGAAGGAAGGGAAAGAGAGAGAAAAAAGAAAGAAAGAAAGAAAGAAAGAGAAAAGGGAGGGAGGGTGAAGAAGGGAGGGGGAGACAGAGAGAGAGAGAAATAAAAATAAAGGAGGGAGGGAGGGAGAGAAAGAAAGAAAGAGTGAATAAACTACTCAAACATGTTCTGCATAGTTCTTAAGATAGAAGGACTAGTGGAATGAATCAATTAAAAACAATGACTTACAGTCAAGTTGTTGATGCCTTCCGAAAACGCTCCAATCTGCCTCACGGTCCCTTCGGAATCTTCCATCTTACAAGGAAGGAAAAATAATAAGAGTGATATTTATATAAATCCTATATTACATAACTGTGTTCGCTAACGTAAATGCTAAACCGGACACATATTCTTGAAGCTTTAGGCCGTGCTTGGATAAGACAGGAGAGAAACCTGAAACCTTGAAGGAGCTTTTCGCGCATCCATAAATGCATGGAAGTTTCTTGCACGAGAAGCTAAATGTTTCGAAGGAACAACCACCGAGAAAGTCCAGTTGCCTTTTGGAAAAGCACCTTTGGGACCACCAGAAACTGGATAATTGAGAATCTCTGTAGACACGGAGAAGATTGTCCAACATGAAAAAAGTTTGTTTTTTTTTAAATGTACTAACTTCACACAAGTGTTGAGCCAAACCAATTTGTCAGGATTCCAACGGATGCCCTAATTAACTCATGAGCCTCGAGCCAAGTTTCAAAAGAAATCCAGTTACTTATTAGGAGCAACATGTTGGCAATTACTCAATTAGATCCCATAGATTAGGCCTCCTCCGAGTTCCATCTGCCGGTCAATGTCGACTGGCAACCACGCGGAGGAG